CCTCCTCCTTCTCCTTCTCCTCCTCCTCCTCCTCCTCCTCCTCAGTGGGGTACAGTGCCCTAGAGTCCACCCTCCAAAGCATCCCTTTTCTCCAGGGGAACTGATCTCTGTGCCCGGAAGATGAGCTGTCACTCCAGGGGATCTCCCAGCTTATTGTGCACCCTAGGCGAAGATCCCTTCTGGCGCCCCCCCCCCCCGTGCCCCCCTGTGTACCCACCTGGTCAGAGCCAGCGGGGGGGTGGCTTTTGGCAGGGGGGGTGCAGTTTGGCACCCCTCGTCATGGCACCCGGAGAAGAGGCTGACCGGTGGGGCGCTCACAAGTCGCCGCTCCCCCAGCCCTGCTCCTCCTGCTGCAGCTTCCAGTCCCCGGCCGCGAGGAAGAAGAGGAGGAGGAGCGCTCCACTGGGATGCCAAGGGGGCAGGCAGGGAGAAGTTAGCCGGCCAAAGAGGCGGCGGGCAGTGGTGGGGGTCACCCAGCCATGGAAATGCAGGGCTTTAGGTGGGGGGGGCTTTTGGTGGGAAGGCGGGTGCAGTCTGGTGTCCCTAAGGGCTGGTGTGCTCTAGGCAAACGCCTAGTTCGCCTAGTTCGCGAGCCGGCCCTGTCTCCAGGTCCCATCTGGAGGCTGGCATCCTAACTTGGGTCCTGTTATTAGTCAACATGGAATGTTTCCAACAAGAGTCGATCAGTAGTATTTGATAAGAACTGGGATTGCTACACGCTCGGATAAATTACATATTGCGGAACGAATGTTCACACTGCGCAGTATTCACTAGCATGTGAGCGAGGACAGAAGGATATTCCTTACAGAGCTACAGAAATACTTCAGTAAATGTTTTTGCAACTGATCTCTATCGACTCTTCGTTATTTTTTATCACGGATGTTGTTTTTGGAGTTCCGCCTCTTCCCGTGATCTCTCGTTTGGGCTTACCCCCCTCTGGAGGCTGGCATCCTAACTTCCATGCTGCGGTGGAAGACCTAGCTCTCAATGCTCCCTCTAAGCCGTGGAGTCTTGTGAGCAGAAATTCTACTTTGTGAGCTACTGGCATTGAAGTTGTGAGCCAGCGATTTGGCTGCTGCACGAATTAGTTTGCTCTGGAGCCATCCCTGCCTGAGCGAAGACAAAAGATGTGTGAGCCGGAGGCTAAAAAAACTGTCAGCTAGCTCACTCAGCTTAGAGTGAACACTGCCAGCTATGCCTCCATTTGCAATTGGATGATCATCTCTTTGTCGTGTCTAGAGTTGAGTTTGGGCGTCTTGTGAATCGCTCCCCAAAGTCCTTTTTTCTTCTTCCAATGATCCGGTTAACTTATTTCCCTTTTCTATTTTTCAGCTCGATTTCTGGCACTTCCCTTCCTACCCCGATCGCCCGGTGGATGTCCAAGTCCCCTTCGCTTGTCTCCAAACTGTCAAGGTTTTCCTGGAGTCCCACCATGTCAAGTACTCCGTCCTCATTGAAGATGTCCAGGTAGGCGGAAAAGAATATCTCGGTCTAGCCTGATAGGGGATCCGTCAATGGTTGCAGATTTGCTATAGCCGGGGGTCATTTCGTAGAAAAAGAGGTGCAGGAGCTCATTAGCATAACTCATTAGCATAACTTATTTGCATATGCCACACCCCCTGACATCGCCGGAAGTGTCAGAAGGCAACACTCACCGCTCAGGCTCCACTGGACTGTTTTGGATTGCTAGCTATTTGGGGTCGGGGGGGAACGTGCAGATCTGTCCTCGCAGAGGAGGGAGAGCTTGTACCTGAATAAAACTTGGTCTTAAAGGTGCCACTGGACTGTTTTGGACTGAGGTGGCTCTGCAATTTACCTGGCTGCTTCTTGCTCTGACTGAGGGCTGCTGGGAGCAGGGGGTGGGGCTTGTTGCATGTGCCCGCCCCCTGGGCTCTTTACTGCCGGAGTTCCACTCCCGTGCGCTTCTGCAGGAAATGACCCCTGGCTATAGCAAATCCATAGTTAGCAAATCTGCTGGTTTGGTATCTAGAAGTAGATCTGTTTCCCTTAGGAGGCGTCCACTGGGCTTTCCTTTTGTTGGGTTCTTGTTTTCGTAGAATCATAGGGTTGGAAGGGACCTTCAGGGTCATCTAGTCTAATCCCCTGCACAATGCACGAATCCCCCCCCCCCCCCCCCCCCCCAGTTTTCTATTTAACTTGTTCTTCTATGGGATTGTAACCGTTCTATATACATGCTTATAACCCTGAAAAACTGCAGTAAAAATTAAGTTAGTATCTCTGGAGCAGTAGAAAAGAGCAAGCATCCAGGAGCACTTTCAAGACTAACAAAATTTGTGGCAGGGGGTGAGCTCTCATGAGTCATGTCTCACTTCTTCAGATAACAGCTAGAACGAGAGTCCATCTGTCCTTATATCTGCAGTGATTTCAGATGGCAAATGACAATAGCAGGTGAATAACAATCGCAGGCCTCATTGGATTAGGTGTGATATGCCAAGGGCTAGTTGTTGTTGTTGTTCAGTCGCACAGTCGAGTCCGACTCTCCGCGACCCCATGGACCAGATCATGCCAGGCCTTCCAGTCTTCCGCCGTCCTCTGAAGTTGGCTCAACCTCATGTTCGTTGCATCTATGACACTGTCTAACCATCTCACCCTTTGCCGTCCCGTCTTCTTTGAACTTCAATCTTTCCCAGCATCAGGGTCTTCTTCTCCAGGGAGTGCTCCCTTCTCATTGGGTGGCCAAAGTATTTGAGCTTCAGTTTCATTATCTGGCCTTCCAGGGAACAGTCAGGGTTGATTTCTTGTAGGATTGACTGATTTGATCTCCTTGCAGTCCAAGGGACTCTCAAGAGTCTTCTCCAGCACCACAGTTCAAAAGAATCTATTCTTCGGCGCTCGGCCTTCCTATAGTCCAACTCTTGCAGCCAGGCTAGTAGGCGTGGAGAAATCAGCCTTGCTAATGAGACAGAAAACCTAGGTCTCGATTCAGCAGTCACAGATGCTGATTTCTCCACACCTACTAGCCCTCGGCATATCACACCGCATCCAGTTGCGCCTCTAATTCATTACCAGTTGCAATTCAGCAGTCTCAGACTGCTGAATTGCAACTGATAATGATGCTCAAGATGATGTATCCTCCTGGACTGAAAAACGACCTACGTTTCCTGTCTTATTACCAATGCTGATTTCTCCACGCCTCCTACCCCTCTCCCTATCACACCTAATCCAATCATGCCTGCTGATTCATTATCAGTTGCAATTCAGCAGTCTCAGAACTGCAACTGATCATGAAGCTCAAGAAAGTGTATCCTCCTGGACTGAATCGAGACCTAAGTTTCCTGTCTCATTACCCATGCTGATTTAGTCTTTAAGTTGCTACTGAACTCTTGCTTTTTTCTACTATGTAGGAGAAGGTGATTCATTCAGAAGAGTAAACAATCCAGCTGAGCGAGCATCACCCACTCCCAAATGCTGGCAAAGCAGGTTGAACAGTATTCCTCATCCTCTAATGATCTGGGCCTTCCTCAAGTTCCAACCTGCAAATGGGCAAAACCAACTACTGCCCGTACACATTAACACCATAACTTTTGGACTTTCTAGTTAGCATCTCTGCCATGGTCTGTCATAGGGCTGTACTCAGGACACTTGTGAATAGCGGGGATCCAGTCGATACATCTGAATCTCCTTCCTCCAGAATTCCATGTAGATGCTCATGGGATAAAAGGCCTATCACTCCAAAGAAAAACAATGTCTCTTTCCTGCAATGAGGGTAGACAGACCTTGGGCGACTCTGCATTGGCTTTTCCCTCTGTTGTTTTATGAAACCCACATTGGAACAGAAATTCCCCTCTGCATTGCATGCTGCTTTCACTTCCTTTGATCATTGGATTTTATGGCACCCTCTAATTTGCATGCCACTTTCGCTTTCTTTGATCATCAGGTTTTATGGTACCTTCTGCATCGATTTATGGACATTTAGGGGCGACTTTGCAGTGAGTGTGGAGCTGCGGTGGCTCAAGTGGTTAAGACGCTGAACTGCAGGCTGTGGAAGGTCGATAGTTCAGCAGTTTGAGACCCGAGTGTGCCGCATGACGGAGCGAGCTCCCGTCTCTAGTTCCAGCTCCTGCCAACCTGGCAGTTCGAAAGCAAGAAATTGCAAGTAGATAAATAGGTACCGCTTCGGTGGAAAGGGAACAGCGTTCCGTGCACCTTGGTGTTTAGTCATGCCGGCCACATGACCACGGAAATGTCTTCGGACAGCGCTGGCTCTTCGGCTTTGAAACGGAAATGAGCACCGCAACCCTAGAGTCGGACTTGACTGGCTTTTGAGCAAGGGAACCTTTACCTTGCAGTCAGTACGGCATTTCCCCGAGGTATTTGAATGTGGTTTTGAACTGCACCTTTTCCTCAGTGTTGAGAAAATGTGGAGCGAATGCTACATGCAGAATTGCCCCGTGTGGGTGGACTTTGAATCCTTTGCTCAAACCCCTGGTGAAAGCCCGGGGCCGGGAAGAATGATCGTGTTTTTCATTCTGATGGATAATTTTGTCGTAGGCAAAGGTGGTTGAAGAAACCCGAGAGATGGAACGCAATCAGCGGAGCGAACGTAGCCGGAGCAGTTTCAACTTTGCCGCTTATCACCCCTTAGAATCCGTAAGTGTGGCGACCTTTCCTCTCATCCACCCCTTCTCCTCTCCCACGTCATCTGCGGCCTGATATAAAGGAAATGCCAGGGGAGGCGAATACACTTTCTTTCCCATCAGACTTTGCACTCGCACACGCCATCTCAAGGAAGCTAGTCTGAGCAAAGTGGTTCCGTAGCTTTCTTGTACGGGTGGGTATCCCCAAGATGTTGCACAAGGGCAAATCCCACAGGAAATTGCTTTGTCCTCTCCTGGTGTCACCTTTAGATTGAATTCCAAATCTTCTTTATAATTTATCAGTTACTTGATTTATACTCGGAGCTGCAGACTATGGAACTGCAGACTATGGAAGGTCGAACTGCAGACTATGGAAGGTCAGTAGTTCAGCAGTTCGAGACCCGAGTGTGCCGCATGACGGAGTGAGCTCCTGTCTCTAGTTCCAGCTCCTGCCAACCTAGCAGTTCAAAAGCAAGAAATTGCAAACAGATAAATAGGTACCACTTCGGTGGGAAGGTCACAGCGTTCCGTGCGCCTTGGTGTTTAGTCATGCCGGCCACATGACCATGGAAACGTCTTCGGACAGCGCTGGCTCTTCGGCTTTGAAACGGAGATGAGCACCGCAACCCTAGAGTCGGATTCGACTGGCTTTCGAGCAAGGGAACCTTTACCTTTTTTATGATTTCTACTCTGCCTTTCTCGCAGGGAATCAAGGCGGATTACCGCCGTCACCACCACTTCATAGGTCTTACAGTGAGCTCGAATAGTGTGATCTGTCAGACTCACTACGAGTTCTCCACCAGCGCTGTTCTAAAAATCTCTGGAGTGTTTGCAGATCACCCAGCTCTGTGATAAACCGGGGACTGGGTTTCGACCCAAGGGTGGGAAAGGTTGGTGAGGGGCAACCGTGTTGATAGCTTCTAGGAGCTTCATATCCCACACTTCCATTGTGGTCTTAACAGAGCACCTGTTTGGAATCCTAAAATCCCCCAGAGTGTTCGAGAATCCAGTAGGAGTCATGAGCCTCCGTGGTGGGGTCGGACCAAATGGACACATTGTCTGGTTCAAACCCAGATCCCTGTAAGTTAAAGACTGATTCCCTGCCCCCTGAACCACCAGAGTTTCTGGTCAGACTGGATTTATACCCTGCCCTTCCACTCGGAGTCTCAGAGCGGCTTACCATCTCCTTTGACCAGGGCCGGATTTAGACTTGCTGAGGCCCTAAGCTATACAAAACCCAGAGGCCCCCTACTGTTTTAAATTACATCAGCTGGTCTCAGAAAAATTTAAAATATATACGCCTTTTTAATATTTGAAAATATATTGTCTTTTAATTTTTATTTTAAAAAATAATAAAGGATGTGTTTACAAAATCACATAAATAATTACATAATTAAAGGGTTTTAAAATGACAAATAAGGCTCCAGGAGATTGCGAGGCCCTAAGCTGTAGCTTATTTAGCTTATGCGTAAATCCGGCACTGCGAGTTCTTTCCCTTTCCCTCCCCACAACAGACACCCTGTGAGGTCGGTGGGGCCGAAAGAGCTCTTTCAAGGACTGCTCCTGAGAGAACAGCTCTGAGTGAACTTGTGACTGGCCCAATGTCACGCCAGCAGCTGCATGTGGAGAAGTGGGGGAATCAAACCCGGTTCTCACAGATTACAGTTCCTCACTCTTAACAGTTACACCAAACTGGCTCTCAAGGTTCTAGTCCCCATCACCACCTCTGTCCATAAAGATGTGTCCCTCTGCCAATAATATGAAATCTGTATTTTGGATTTTAGATATATAAAGCGATGGACGACATTGTGGCCCAATATCCCCAGCTTGTGAGCAAAGTCCAGATCGGGGAGTCCTATGAAAAAAGGCCCCTCAATGTTCTCAAGGTATTGTCTTTTCCCCTTCCCTCCCTTTGAATTAAAATCCTGTGACTGAGCGATAACCACGTTTGTTTCATGTTAAGTGGGGCGGTATGGAGCTGCGGTGACTCAACTGGTTAAGACGCTGAGCTGCAGGCTGTAGAAGGTCGGTAGTTCAGCAGTTCGAGACCCGAGTGTGCCGCATGACAGAGTGAGCTCCCGTCTCTAGTTCCAGCTCCTGCCAACCTAGCAGTTCGAAAGCAAGAAATTGCAAGTCGATAAATAGGGACCACTTCGGTGGGAAGGTAACAGCGTTCCGTGCACCTTGGTGTTTAGTCATGCCGGCCACATGACCACGGAAACGTCTTTGGACAACGCTGGCTCTTCGGCTTTGAAACGGAGATGAGCACCGCAACCCTAGAGTCGGACTCGACTGGCTTTCGAGCAAGGGAACCTTTACCTTTTTATGAGGGCAAGAGCAGGTCGGACACTTGCAGAAATAGACGGTTTTCTCCAAAGGCCAGTTTTGTCTGTGGAACTCGAGGTTGAGGTACGATCCTGCAATGGGAAACACCAAGAGGTTTCACAAATCTTTCTGCTCTCGTTTGCTAGTTCAGCACCGGGGGAACCAATCGCCCGGCGATCTGGATTGACGCCGGGATTCACGCTCGAGAATGGGTCACCCAAGCCACGGCCCTCTGGACAGCGAATCAGGTCAGCCATGGGGCACAGTGACCGTTTTTTTCATGGGGCATGTTTTCTGGTGGGTGTCTGGTCTGGAGGGCGATGGGCGGCCAGGGGCAATGTGAGCCAAGTGGCCCTTCCCAGACAAGGCCTCTCTTCCCCGTTTTGTTGGCCCTCCAGAGGAACTGGTCAGCCACTGTGTGAGACGGGATGCTGGGCTAGATGGATCACTGGTCTGATCCAGCAGGGCTTTTCTTCGGTTCTTATGGAGGCCTCAGCCTCTCTGCCCTGTTGCTGGCCCTCCAGAGGAACTGGCTGGCCACTGTGTGAGGCAGGATGCTGGACTGGATGGACCCTCACCAGTCTGATCCAGCAGGGCTCTTCTGCTGTCCTTATGAAGGCCTCAGCCTCTGTGCCCTGTTGTTGGCCCTCCAGAGGAACTGGTTGGCCACTGTGTGAGACAGGATGCTGGACTGGATGGACCCTCACTGGTCTGATCCAGCAGGGCTCTTCTGAGGTCCTTATGAAGGCCTCGGCCTCCCTACCCTGTTGTTGGCCCTCCAGAGGAGCTGGCTGGCCACTGAGTGAGGCAGGATGCTGGACTAGAGGGACCCTCACTGGTCTGATCCAGCAGGGCTCTTCTGATGTCCTTATGAAGGCCTCGGCCTCTCTGCCCTGTTGTTGGCCCTCCAGAGGAACTGGTTGACCCCTGTGTGAGACAGGATGCTGGACTGGATGGACCCTCACTGGTCTGATCCAGCAGGGCTCTTCTGAGGTTCTTATGAAGGCCTCGGCCTCCCTGCCCTGTTGTTGGCCCTCCAGAGGAGCTGGCTGGCCACTGAGTGAGGCAGGATGCTGGACTAGAGGGACCCTCACTGGTCTGATCCAGCAGGGCTCTTCTGAGGTTCTTATCAGGGGAAGGCCTCGGCCTCTCTGCCCTGTTGTTGGCCCTCTAGAGGAACTGGCTGGCCACTGTGGGAGACAGGATGCTGGACTAGGTGGACCCTCACTGGTCTGATCCAGCAGGGCTCTTCTGAGGTTCTTATGAAGGCCTCGGCCTCTCTGCCCTGTTGTTGGCCCTCCAGAGGAACTGGTTGGCTCCTGTGTGAGACAGGATGCTGGACTAGAGGGACTTTCACTGGTCTGATCCAGCAGGGCTCTTCTGAAGTTCTTATGAAGGCCTCGGCCTAGCCCCATTAGGGGTCACCAGAAGTCACCAAAAGGCACACAAGCGCACAGAAGCATGCGCGCGCACACACACACACTACTCGCCACAAAAAACAAATAAAAAATAAATTTATTTTATTTATTAATTTGATTTTTACCCCGCCCTCCCCGCCGAGGCAGGCTCAGGGCGGCTGACATGAGAGAACAATGGACAAAACAGCAATATAAATATCCATATAAAACACATAATAGAGTGTTAAAACCATTAACGTCATGATGGCGATACAGCTGTGGTAAAGGGCATATAGAAACATACGTTCAGCGGTACATCCACCCTTGGCGGGCTCAGGCTGGCACTAAAACTGGCACAGGGCATCGATGATAAAGTGCAGCTCCTTACCCAAAAGCCTGGTGGCTTTTGGGTAAGGAGCTGCACTTTATCATCTGTTTTTGCGGCCCTGTGAAACCGTGAAAGGTCCCACAGGGCCCTAATCTCGTCCAGAAGCTCATTACCGTAAGTTGGAGCTGCCACAGAAAGTGCCCTGGTCCTAGTTAAACAGCCGGTCGACCGTGGGACAGAGGGGGGGGGGGGGGATGCAACCCTGACCGTAGTGCTCTCTGGGGAACATGTGGGGAAAGGCGGTCCCCCATGTAGGTAGGTCCCAGACCATAAAGGGCTTTACAGGTCAAGATGGGTCTATCCTAATCAAAAACCCTGGATGACGAGAGAGGTACAGTGACTTTTGAGGGAGAGGAATATGGCCTTTAGGTCTGGAGACATGAACCTTTATAGCTCTGCCAGAGCCAACCTGAAAAGAGGTATCCGACAGGCTAAGCTGGGCTATAGGCAGAGGATTGAGGATAAATTCAATACGAATGACATGCAGCAGGTGTGGCAGGGGATTCAGAATATTACCAATTATAAACCAACCGTTGCTGCCGTGGATGGAGACCCTTCATTGGCGGAGGAGCTTAATCTCTTCTTTGCCCGTTTTGATGTGGAGCCGAAGGGGACAGCCATACTACAGCCATCTGTCCATGGCGGCCCCTCCCTCAGGGTAGAAGAGCATGAGGTGAGGCGTACGCTGAGGTCTGTGAATCCGAGGAAAGCGGCTGGACCTGATGGCATTATG